TCATGTAAAATTCAAAAACAGTTTATCAACATATAGTCAAAAGACTATTTGTCTAAACCTCAAGCAAAGGAAAAAATATTTTTCTAACCCACGGAAAAATGTTTTTCGAAAAACCGCTCGAAACCGCGGTTTCGATTGAATAACCACGATTTTCTGAAATCGCGTTGCTCGTATTCATAACCGCGGTTCTAAATACCACGGTATTCAACGGTCGAAAAAATCGCGGTGGTGATTACTGCCGTATTGAGCGGTTTCTAAAGCCGTGGTATAGTCCTCAGTAATTGCGATGATAAATACCGCGATATCCAGTGGTTTCTAAAACCGCTGTATAGTCATCAGTAATCGCGATGGCGAATATCGCGGTATTCAGCGGTTACAAATGCGGCGGTATAGTGATCAATAATTGCGGTGATAAATATCACGGTGTTCAGCAGTTTCTAAAACGGCTGTACAGTCATCAGTAATCGTGGTGATAAATGTCATGGTATTCAATGGTTTATAAAACTGTGGTATAGTTATTGGTAATTATGGTGGCAAATACCGCAGTATTCAACAATGTTAGAAACCGCGGTATGCCACCGAAGAACCGCGTTATTTATTACCGCGGTATGTCTGGTGCTTATACCATTGTGATGTTATGTGTAAGGGCGAAGAAGATGTCGTGCCCTGGTATTTTCATGAAATTTTTGAATAAGTTTTCTTATTCTATCTCTCACTACAAAGTAACCTTGTGGTAATAGAACTTCTAAAAGTTCACTACAGGCTCCTTCCAGGGTGACTCACCTGAACGTTTTCGCAAATTCAGGTGAGCCTGGTCATACCTGAATCAGATGTGGCTACGAAAACTGCGAAAGTAATACCTTTTATGCGGTTTTGGAGACCGGTGAAAACAGCGGTTCTTGGCGTTTTTCAAAAACCGCATAAAAGGTCTGACTTTCGCGGTTTCGAAAAACCGTTGATTACCGCAGCTTGTAAAACAGCGTTTTCTCCCGGTTTTCGTTCAAAAATTTTTCCGTGGGAAGGAATAAATAATTAGTATTAACTGATTTAACATTTTCATGTATAAAACTAAGTGAAATAATGTTATGAAAAACATGATTTGTTGAAAAAACCAAAGAAAAAAACACAATCTTATTTTCATCATTGTGTTAGAAAATTTTCATTTATTATGTATGTCTATGTGTTTTAGTTTAGATGGTTATTATACAGGTTGATTATGTTATTTTTGATAGTTTTGTTCAGTTTGCTGTATTTAAACGAAACCTTAGGTGTTTCTTATTTTGACATAGTTGGATAAAACATCGATTACTTTGTCGAACTATGTAGCTTTTATTTTATTTATTTTGCGCCTTGTTCAAAAAATTGATAAATTACGAAGAGCCCCGGAACGTAACTTTTGCACGTTCGTATTTCAGTTCGAGTAAATTCATTAATGATGGAAACTGTTTTAAATGAAATAGATCCATCAAACTTCCTTGTGCAAAAAATATTAAACGAAATGGATTCGAAATTGAGGAGACAACTGAATTTTACTGTTAAAATTTGGTCACCTTTTGCACTTATGAAAAACAAGGTTATAGTGGTTTTCGTAAAAGTTTATCTTGAGAACTGAACGTAAATCAAACCAAAATTATATAAATCAGTAGAGAAATTGACGCTCTATTCAGTTGTATATCAACAACAAAAATTTTTATGTACTTAAACAGCCGAAACTTCTTTGAAGAAAAGTCAAAAACCATATATGAAGAAAAATTCAGAAACACATTTCTCAAAAAAGTCGCCCAATTTTATAGTAGAGATAACGTATAAGCCCAATGAAAAATATATAGTTCGGTAGAATAAAGAATAGTCTATTATTCTATATAAAAATAAAAAGTTTTAGCACTCCAGATAAGAGTGAAAATAATTACCTGTGAGATGGTCAGAAAATTGCTGGATGCAAAGCTCGCTGATGACTGCTTTTCGCAACGTATCAAATTTTGACCAAGATTCAAAGTAAACAAAATGAAAATTATATGATCCGATAGAGTAATCGATGCTCTATCCAACTACATCAAAACAAGAAATGCTTGAGGTTTTGAATAAATACAGCAAACTGAACAAAACTATCAAAAATAACGTAATCAAGCTGTAGATAGAAAAATTGGTAAAAAGCTCCAAACTGATTAATTATTCGACTAGTTCAGTTCACACAAGTGATCGAACTACAGTTGATAAAATCAACATAAGATTTTAAGAGCTATCCTAAAAGATAGTACCTAGAGGTTCTCTACGACTATCCTACAAGAATATCTATAAGTCGTCAAAGACTATCCTTTTAAGATGTATCCGTAAATCTTCAAAAATTATCGTACAGGAGTATCCATAATTGTTTAAGTTTTATTGTTGAAGGACTTCTATAACTCTTTAAGGTTTATCCAAATATGGCCATCATATTTCTTCAATACCTATCCAATATTTAGTATTCATCAATATCGAAGATTTATTTAGATATAGTCTCTGTAACTCTTCAAGAGTTGTCTAACAAGTTGTTCCTATAACTTTAGAAGAGTTTTCTAGATATGATTGTGAATCCTTTCCGAAGCTTGTCTGTGATAATATCTATAGTTTCACAGTGGCAAAATTCGATGAAATCTACTAATATATTCAATGACATTCCTATATGTCATGTATATTGATCTTAAAAGACTGCTATTTGTATTACTATTATTTCCAAAACTTTTTGAGATTATTTTCATTGATACTGATAAGAACTTAGAGATAATCCATTGATGGACGGATATTTGTAGAACTCGATTAGTTTTGAGTAATATATCGAAAATAAAATCTCTTTCTAATGAAGAACTGTTTGAATAATGAAACATTAGTGTTTAGTATATTATGTAGCATATCTTATGCTTTTTATCTTCGGATTATAGATTAAAAATATGATTATGTTTCTTGAAAAGCAAAAACTAATATCTTTGACGCTTTCAAATGTGTATTAAATAAATAATCCTTGGTTTAGATGACATTCTAATAATATAACAAGACCTTTTCACTTTATGTAATCCGAAAATAACTTTTCTTTTTTTTGTGTTTTCTTAACAATATATGTTTGTCTGTATTACGTGAGATTGACTAAATATAATTTTATTTATTAACTAGGATCGTGTCTATAATTATAGAATACTAAAACAAAGTGATCTACACCATTTTCCCAACATTGTCCAATCATTTTCGTTCTTTCTTTTTTGTTGTTTATTTTCATATATTAAAATAAGAATATAAATCTAAACAATAGATATTTCTCCATAATAACATTTAATCTTGTNCAATGAATATTTTCTAGACTATTTGATATTATCAATCATAAAGTTATATATAGGAAAAGATATACATATACATATATTTATGTTTATTTCAATATAGGACATATCTTATTCTTCATATGACTATAAATTCTAATGAATTAAATCACATCATTTTACATGCAGACAATACTACTAAAATAATATATTATACAAGTATATAAATATTTCTTTACAATATAGAAATATATAAAATCTAGTTTTTACTTTCTTATCTATTGTTTATAAATATAGAGTATTTAATTCTGTGGAACTTTATATTAAAATTAATATAAAATATAATTTTTTTCTAATATAGAAAAATATTGATATGAATATCATAGATTGATATAAAAGAATTTCTTCATTCACTATCTTAGAACATAGATTTTTACAAATCTATTCAATAGCGTCTAATTGTGAAACTTAGATTTAAATTTGAAATTGAATTCAATGGTTAGACTTATTTAATAATAACTTATACTTAATCTAAAAACATTTTTGTTTTCATATGTATATTTTCTTATGAGAAACTTCTCTGTTTTCTTTTTCTGTTTTGATTTTTTATCAAAGAAGAAAAAAAACAAAAAACCTTACCTTCTGATTCTTCATCATCAGCTAAATCATGTTTTATTTGTTCCGTTTGATGTGTATTAGAATCATCGATTTGTTTCAAACATTTTGCTGATGGCTAAACGAAAGAAAAAAAAAACAAGATTTTCGTTTTAATAACATTTTTATTATAAATAGAGAATAAAATCATTGCATTAAAATTTTAAATAATACTAATAAATAACAATAATTAATTTATTTCTTTTTATATGATAGTATATTTAGAAAAACTTAATAGTATATAATGAATATTCTTTGAATCAACAAAGAATATGAAAAATTAATATTTCGTTTAATTTAATATTTTGTATGTATATGTTGTAGTAGAAATTAATTTATTTGAAATATTCGAGATAACTATCATACTTACATAAATTTCATTATCATTATCTGTTGCTATTGTTGTTGTTTTAGTTGATTCATTGATACTATCATCCGTTTTCTTTGTACGTAAATTTGCAGAGTATAAATGAAACATTTCTAACGACTATCTAAAATAAATATATTGAAATAATACTTAAAAAAATAGAAAAAAACAAAATATTTTGTTTTTGTAGATAAATTCAATAAAATAAGCAACAATTATTAATAGTTGAATTCTTCTCAGTATGTAATTATACATATTTACATAATCACATATTTGCAGTTATATAAGAAAAAAAGAAAAGTTAGCATCCATCAAAACAGATACGATACGTATAACTCGTCTTAGCGTTCATCTGATATGATTTATTGGAAACAGTACCTATTGGAAATCTAACGAAGCCATAATTGTCCAATGAAGAAAAAGCTTTTGTTGTAGGAGGACATCATTTACATATCTATTACTTGCACAAGAAACTTTGTTTTCACAGATTTTATATACATTACTTTTACAACAAAAAAATCGTCTTCGAGCAACTTTTGACTATGATATATTTGTCGATCGAACACAAATTCGTTCAAAAATATGTACTATCTCTTCTGCTTCATTTAAGAGAAATTCAATAGAGTCATTGATAATCAATAATAAGCTATTTAGTCTCTACAAAAATTTATGTTTAGTAGAATTTCAGCGAAATTCATATAAAATCTCTTCAAATTTTTTCTTTCTATCATAGACATTTTACAAATTTTCTTTTAATTCAAAAATTTTTATATAATTTATTTTAATTTTGAAAAATAAATCATCTTCGATTATGCATATATATATGAGTGCATTGCAACTTTTTGGTACAATTGATACAAAAAACTGAAAGTGAATCTAAACAAATTTTCAGTAGTGTATTTTTACTATGTTCTATGCTTGTAGTACACAGGAAAAGTTTCCGAACATTTTATTGAATATTAAGCGAGATAGACGAGATATAGTTCAGTTTCTGCTTAAATTTGGTGATGAAATGTCCTGTATACAGAGAAAAACACTTGATTCATATTCATCACTATTACAAAGAAAATTAATTGTCAAAAATATCTTATAATATATAGATTTGTTGGGTGCACTCAGTCGAGTTTAATTCTATACGAACAGTTTATTTGCGAGCTTATTCAACTGGACATATTTGCATGGAAATCGTCACTCTACATTTTTCACTATATCGTAAATTTCTTTTGAACGATACACTACTAAGAGCTGATATTTTTATGACTTACATAACTTTTTGTTTTGCATCTACTGCAAAAAAATTCAGTCAAATTGAACATACTGTTACAGAATTATCGAATGCACAATTTTCAAATCGTCACTCTACAAAGTCAGTATAATGACATTTCTTTTTCAACAGTTCGGCTATTTTCGATCAGAAATAAAGTTGTTAAGTAAGAAGTTTTTTCATCAATTTTTTAGATAAAAACCTGTCTTTCCTTTTATATGGTTCAGTGATCGTTAGCTCTATCATCAAGTGAGGTTTGAATTGCGTTTCCGTCAGTCTACACAATAATGTACGAATATCTGTCGAACAATATGAACGTTAAGTGAGCGAATGAGGAACGAATAAAATTTAAACGAACAGCATATTTCGATAGAGCGTCGCATATTCTACAAACTAGCCTATTTGTATTCTTTTTCTTTTCTTTTATTATAGTCAAAAAATTCTCTTTTCTTTGTATATGTTATCGAAATATGATGTTTTTCACAACATGTCTTTCATAAGTCACTTATGATCTGAGATAAAGAGCTGAAGTTTTGTGTGGGTGTGGGACACTTAAGGATTAGTGAAACATAAAAGAAATTGTCGAAATTGATTAAACAGAAAAAAAGTTATTAATAAAAGACAGCTAAAATGCAATTGTACCAAAATGTTGCAATTCACTCATACATATATATTATCACCACAAAATATACTTCATCTTATGATTAATTTATTTACTAAAGGGTAAAACTACATTTAATTTTCATTTTACAGTTTATTGATAGATGATTTCAATCGTTTTTTTTCTATTATAACAGAATTGTGAATGACTAAGATTGTTAGTAGCTAAAATTGGGATCAAACTGGTGCTTAATGTTTTTATGACTAATCTGTACAGTATAACCTCTCTAATGTGAGCACTATTGTGATCGGTTGGTTAAAAGTGCTCAGTTTAAGGAAGTGCTCATTATTGGGAAATTTTTAGATCCTTATTTGGTTGCTAAATCTCGTTAAGATAAATGACGATCAGAATCTTTTATTAATTCCATTTGTTTTAAATAAAGGGAAATAGACCAATAGTGATATAATATAATGTTAGCGATTATTATTATAAAAATGAGGTAATATCACACCGAACAACGTTATTTATGCTGTGTATTTTTTTTCATTTTAATTACGTCCGATTAGTTTATATCAGTCAAATATCTGTCCTTTGTTTATTTTTGATAAGACAGACGACATAGAATAATTTTTTTTCTCATTCTACGTGTCAGTTATAGAACACATATTGTTCATTTTATAGAGTTTATTATTGTTCATGTAACCAATAAAATGCGCTCACTAACAGAATGAGGAGATACTCATAATCGAGAGATTCATTTTCAGCAAAATTCACTCGGACGGCTCATAGAGCGCTTAGTATACAGAGTTACTCATTATTGGAAGGTGCTCACATATAGTGGTTATACTGTACATTTCATTTTTTAGAGTGTATAAATAATATTATATTTTATTGACAATGACTAATATATAACACTATTGTAAAAATATAATGTGTTACAAATGTTTATCTCCTTGACTTTAGGAAGAATCTTACAAGATAGTTTGGTTATGATATGCTACAATTTCTCTTACTTGAAGTAAGAATTCATACAAAAAAAAACAGAATTAAATGTCTAATTGAATTGAAAGGTGACTGTTTTTTGTCTTTGTATTTGATCATGAGTTAATCAATAGAATAATAGAAAAAATGATGTCGCTCATTGATTGATACAAAATATTTATAGATGAAGAAAATAATAGATTAATGTGATTTGTTTGCAACATAAGAAAAGAGATTTTATTTTGAGATGTTATTTAGAATTATATAAGGAATCAGAGATGTTCAGGGTATGGGTGGGTGCTGTGTGGGGTGTGGCTATTGTTACATAATAAAAAATCTGCACCTGTACCCACATCCACACCCACATCCTAAATTTAATTTTACTGTTAGTGAAAGTTTTCACCTATAAAAGTATGAAACGATTATAAGCGTTTCTTTATTTTGCAAAACAATTTATTTTTTTTTGTTGGTAGTGTAACTTCATTTAAATGACATTTTCAAAGATCAAAACTATTTCTTTCTCATTCAGCATCAAGAACTAGAAAACTATATTTACATCTAAATTATGCATTTATTAAAATCTGCCTATCCTTCTTTAGGCAAGCCATCGATATTTTAATTTGTTTGATATTAATATGATTAGTTTGACTTTTTCATGTCTGTTGTTTTCAACTTCCAACACAAAACATTTCATTATACGATCTCTGAGATTCGTTTCAATGATTTCTTTGTCATTTCTCCCTTCATAATGTATATTAATGAATAATGATTAATATTCGAGAATCTAATTTGATAATAAAATAAGATTGAATTTCAAAACTGAATGAAATGTTTTATTGAAAAGAAAAAACCTTGAATAGTTAATGATAGAAAAAGAAACGTACATAGTTTTAATAAAATAAAGTTTGAAGACGGAGAATGGATAAATGATTTGAATTAAAAAAGATAAAGAAAAGTTTATAACAGTAATATTTATAGATCTTTTTTGTTGTTATTATCATTTGAAATGATAGCTTTAGAAACATCCGTTCGATTTTCATTTGAAATTTTTTCGTTGTTGGAAGATGTTTTTTCATCAGTTGTATTTGGTTTCGATTTTTTCTTTTTTTCAGAAGTTTGTTTTGGTTTGCTATCTTCATAAAGATTTTCGATATCATCTTTATATTTTTGTTCAATGGCTTTTCGTTTTAATTTTAATGCATCTGTAACAAGACCAGTTTTACGTGTCCATAATTCTGTGATAATTTTAATATGTTGTGGAGTTTCAAATCTTTCAATTCCACCTTTTCTACAAGCATCTTGTACTTCTTTAAGAACTAATTCAATAAATTCATCATCATTAACTATTTTTTGTCATTCTTTTTCACCAAAATGTCTTTCAGTAAAACTCTACATAAAAGGAAACCCCACCCAAATATTTAAATTTTATCTATCTAATTGGAGAAATCCTTCCTCAAATAATTCCAAATTCCCACATTTTATAGACAAAATTCATTTGTGAAATCTATCGAAGTCTATTAATGTTCGTAAAGTTACATCAGGATCTTTCATTGTTTCGATGATACTTTCACGCTGCTCTATGTGTGTAAATCATCATAGACATTATCAAAAATAATTGAAGCTGAATTAGATTGTAGTTCGTTTGCATAATTTAGTGTCAGATATGTAATTTTATAAAAACATTCTTCATGATTATCGCATGAACAAAATAACAAATTCTGTAGTTCTTAAAAGCTGATCCAATATGTAAATATTCAGAGATTTCACTAGATATCTATGCGAAAAATGGATTGTTTTCAATTGCTGTGTGTTACCTTTTTCTAATCTTTACTGTTAGAATCCTAATGAGATCTGTTTAATTGCGTAATGTATATGATAAGAAACTAGTTTTCTATTGGATTCTTTCTCAATCAATGAATGTCATGGGTCATTTGTTTAGTGATTCATCCAAACAAACAACAATCTAAGGGTGTTAAAGTTCAGCTCATCTGAGCAAATGAGCTGTTCGAAAGTTCTTTTGATAGGAGCTGAACTTTTCGAACAGCTCATTTTCAGAAACTGATGGAGATTAAATGAACGTTCTGGTCAGCATTTTTGATATCATATCCCTCAGTTCAGTTCTTATGAGCGGAGCTGTTCTGAAAGTTCAGTTCCTATCAAAAGAACTTTCAAACAGGTCCTTCGTTCGGATGAACTGGAATTGGTGCATCTCTAAACAAAACCCACTGTTCTATTTCGATTGAAGTCCTAGACAAATTGAACTGACTAGAAATTTTATCCGATTAAAAATAAGTTTTTAATCAATCAAAGAAGAAAGTGATATTCTGTTTCTTTTCTATTCTATTGAGACTAAGAATCTATATAATTGCTCTTGAATACGTATAAATTTGTTTAATACTTACAGACATATTTTTAGTATTTGGATAAATAAGTGCAACAGTATATTCGGTTGACGCTGATGCACATAAACAACAATTTTCAATAATTGGTACTTTACTAATTGCCATTTCAACTTTAGTTAATGAAACATATTCTCTACCACGTCATTTAACTAAATCTTTCTTTCGATCTAAATTATTGTAATTAATAATAATAGAAATAAAATTTTTAACTAAACCGATAATTTGAAGTGTTTCATCAGGAAAGAATTCTCCAATATCACTTGTACAAAAATATCTTGTTCTATTAATTTCTTTAAAATTTTCATTTTCTTTTTTCGATGTGTTACCAAAATATCCATTAGCAACAACTTTTCCTTCAATAAAAATTTCTCCTCGTGGATTTGGTTTATTTGTATTTTTATAATGACCCTCATCCCAATCAACTAAACAAATTTCACATGAAACAAGTGGATATCCAGCGCGACCAACTGTTATATCAAAGTCTACAAAACAAAAAAAAACACAAAATAAAAAATTCAATAAAATTCTGAATACAAACGATCAGCAATTGTTCCTCCGGCACATGTTTCTGTAAGACTATTGCCCTGAAAAAGTGTTACACAAAGTGCTGCTTGTACAAAACGTTGAGTATCTTCACTGAGAACAGCTCCACCACATAACATTGTTTTAACTCGACCACCAAGAATCAATTGATTAAAACGAGAAAATACTAATCTAAAAAATATTTTTATTAATTAAGAAAAAAAAAAATTTTCATAAGGAAAACAATGTTTACTTGTCAAGACCAATTTCTAAACGTTTAACTTTGATTTTATATGATAAATAAAATAATTGACGTGTGACAAAATTTGATTGATTAATTTTTTCATTAACTGCTTTATGAATACGATCAAGAATTGTCTTGAAAAAATTTATTAATTCATTTTTGAATAAATATAAAATAAAATAAAATATCTTACAGGTACACAAGTCATTAAATGTGGACGAAGAACTTGTAAATCATCTTTTTGGCCACGTTTTATAGCTGTGGATTGACCTGTTAAGGTTTGAGGAGATGAATAACCACATTTAATACCCATGAAAAATATTAAAATTTCTATTTGAATTTTAAAAATAAATATTCGTTTTTGTTTTTTTTAAATAAATAAACAAACCGCAGCAAAGTTCAAGAATATGAGCTAATGGTAAATAAGCAATATAGATATCATTTTCAAGATCAACCATTGTAAAGACACGTTCTTTTTGACCAGTCATGGCAGCAATAACATTTTCATGTTTTATTAATACACCTAAATTTTCAATTCAAATATTAAACATTAATTAAAACATTAGATGAGAAACGACTTTCATTCATTATTTTAATAGAAGAAAAAACTATCATTTCCACGATTCTCATTAATTCATATTAGAAAAAATCCAATCTTTAACTATTAAAATAGCATTATTTGCAAATAAATAGATTAAATTCATATTCAAAGACAAAAAATGATTCTTTATAATTTAATTGAACAGTTTATATAAATGGTTAATTAGTTTTTAAAAACTCACTGAAATCTAAACAAGCATTAATTAAATGCTTTCTAAATCATTAGTCAAAATCGCATAGATTTCTTATTCTTACTAATAAACAAACCAATTTCATGCAATATACCTTTCAAGAATAATTCAATCTTCAATAGAAATAAAGAACATAACTCTTTATTGATTAAAGAATTTCTTGAAAAAGGGATGAAATATATCTGATAAATATCTGTTTTTCTATAGAATAAAATTACCTTTTGGCGTTCGAGTACTTCCACTTGTGTAAATAATAACTACAATATCTTGTTTTCCTGGTCGTTTATTTAATGTTGCTTTATCTGATAAATAAAAGAAGAAATGAAATCAAGAAAAATAATCAAGCAAAGGAGAAACTACCAATATTTGTATTTGTTCCTTGTTCTTCTAATTTATTTAATGGAATAAATTGAATATTATTTTTGTCTTATGGTACTTTGACTGATAATTGTTTAGCAACAGCAGGAAAATATATGACATGACGAACTTTTTCGGTTTGTTCTAATGTTTTCTATTAACACAAAAATAAAGTTTCTTTAGTTCAAAAAAGCTAAAACCAATGTATATGTCGCTTAATTAAACTTCTGGATTCAGAATACTATTGAAACCATTCTAAATTCCCAGTGAAAAACAATCATGGAAAAAAAAGGAAGTAAACGCATTCAGCAAAACATGGAAAGTTACCTTTCCCATGAAGAACACGTTCTATAGTTTGGCCAATGCGTTCATGAGCGACAAGAATAAGTTATGCATCTGAAGGAACGCATTTTTTGTCGTTCCACGTTTTTTATGGGATGGTTTCTTCTCGGTTCAAAATCATTCTTCATCTGAAGAGAAAGCTTTCTGAACCGTTCATTTTTGGAACGGTCAGGATCGGATTCCATCAAAATGAGAATGCTTTCTTTGACCTTCTCTCAAGAAATACTTGAGAATGGATTCTTCGAACTGATGAACGCGTTCCAGACAATCCAACATCATTCTTAGGGAGAAAAGAACGCGTTCTCTATCGTTCTCCTAATTGTCGAATGCTTTCTCGTGAATTTAAAACTCAGTTTTAAAAACACAGAGCACCTTCTCGTCCGTTTCATAACCTACATAAAATTATCCCGTTATATTGAGAAAGAATATTGATTAGCTCCAAATGGGTGTGGATGTGGGTGGGGTGTGGGTGTGGATGAGGGTGTGAG